TGACAGTCATTATTTTTACACGATTCGTTGAAGCCGACAGTACAAAGGTCATGTTTATGCTTGGGTAAAACACCTCTCGAAATGCCACCATCATGAACAATGGTACGTGCAAGGCAATGCCAGCAACTGTGAGCAGAAGCAGGGTTACCACTACTTTTTTACTATCAAAGATGAACTTGAATTTCAGCGGTAGAGCAACGCAGCAGCACTTCAAAATAGTGAGATAAACGGTGAAGAAAGCAGACATTTTGTAAGCCATATTGTAGCAATATAATAATTGGGACTTAGAAGTCATGTAAGGCACTGACCATAATCCTATTTCACCGTAAAACTCGAGGACCGCGTACACTGTAAAAAGAAGAGCAGTCAATAAATCAGAGAAAGCCAAAGCGAAAAGAGTAATAGATGTAGGGCTCTCTGATATACCCATACGTCTAAATATCTCCAGATTGCAGAGATTCGTGAGAATTCCAAACACGGCTATACCTAAATTAGTCTGTTTGATGACTTTCCTTATCAGCAAATAAGTGCTGTAAGCCATGAAGAATGACCTTACGCGAGGCTGTGCCACTGTGCAGTTTGATGCGCACGCGTAGGAATCTTGAATGGATGCCGTAGACGCCATTCATTAATTTTTGTGGTTATCTTTGCGCAACACAGGAGACCACGCACTTTGATAAGAGCGCTGTTGTCAACAATAATAAAGAGATTGTTCGGTATATCTTTTCAAGAGGTGTTCAACAGTGTTCGACACTATCTGGCATGCATTGTTATGGAAAGCAGCCTGTTTTATTGAAAAAGTAAGGAAACTACTTAAAGTTAAAGCAAGAAAATTTACACAATTACAATGTTTCATATTTCTAATTAGCACCTAGATCTAGGTGGAAATATAATAAGCTCACCATGTGTGTCAGTGTTCAGGAGTTCTTGGCGCTGTTCATACATTAATTAAAAACAAAACAAACAAAACTGTTAGCTGTAATTCACTGGGACTCCGTAACAGGACGGTTATTGAGTAATGCATCATCGATAATATGGAGGAAAACTCAGGCTTTCTCAAGAGAGTAAATGGCATAGTTATTAGTTTTAAACTCATTATTTTAAATTTACGCTAAGCAGTGCATTGATTTCTTACGTAACAGTAAACATTAGTCATTGTAATTACTCACACATGATGTTTGTGATCACCCACAGTTCGCAGTGCAATTTCTTTGTTTTGGTAAATGTTTTATGGCGCTCCCGACTGCATAAGGTCATATATTTTCGTTTTAGTAGAGTTTTTTCGGCGCTTGCAACTACACATAATATTATGGGACCATTAAAAAAATTCTAGAAATCATTGTTCCCAGGCTTTGGTCAACATAGAACCTTAAATTAACGAAAAACAATACAAGAGTGTTACATATTGTTTTGTATATGTATACCATTTTACTCACTGGATGAAACGTTTCAATCTTATCTCATACATCAAGAGACATGGGTGCTTTTGTAAGTAAAAATAGCATAAAAACGTACGTCGCTGTGATTTTTGTAAAACTTAAAATAAATAGTAAACTCATTTAATCGGGATGATGTTACTTCTACTTCTACCTTGTTTTTATAATAAAACTTTACATCCAATTTATAGAGAATGTTCTTTCCAGCCTAGTTGCTTAGTGCAGCTGACTGTAAGGGGTGTGGCAATGCATGTACACGGTAAATAGCTTTCCTCTCCGTTACCAACAGTAGTGTTTCGCTTCGCTGATGTCAGAATAGGAGATTCCTGGATCTCCCATTCAAAACAGATTTGGAGGGGAACTATGCAGAAGTATCCCCTCAGGGCGTGTCAAAATAACCGACAAGAGACAGTAAAGCTTTATTCCTTTCCGAAACCGTCACTTTTAGGTAGATTAAATTCCCACGAGTAAATATAATGGTCGTCATGAGGCAAGCTTTGATGGTATAAGCTCCATGACTTTTCAAACGTTTCCCCTTCCGTTACTTCCCACTCCGTTACCATACCTGGAAATGACAGAGCAGACACACTTGCCAAACGGGGATCTAGACAGGAACAACCCAACACTCCAACTTCATACAACACTGCAAAACAAATCATCAAAAGCAACAACAAACAAGATTGGATGAACAGATGGGCCCTGGGA